TAATGTTTCCCCAATTATTTAGGTCTGTCTTTCTGCAAAGAGTGTTTTTGATAGACTCCCACATATTTTATACATTCTGTAGCTATTTTGAATGGAATTTTTCTTTCTAACTTTTCCTACTGGGTTTTGATAATAATATATAGGAATTCTGATTTATGAGGATTTATTTTCTATCTTGAAACTTTGCTGAATTTATTAAGTGATATATTAATTCATAATATTTGAGTATTAAGAGGCTGGTCTAAACTTTTACTAAATCGCTTTGCAGTTTTTGTCAAAAAAGGTTATTTATGTTCTTGGTTTTATGAAACAGTAGACTACTGTTATTAATTGCCTGTTTCTTGCTTAGCTAGTCTATTCCATTGATCTTCTCTTCTGTTTTTTAAACAGGACCAAATATTTTTGATGATTACTGCTTTGTAATAGATTTGGAGATATAGCAATACTATGCCCTTTACTTTTGTACTTTTTCTCATTATTTTATTTGTAATTCTATGTTTTGTTATTCCAAATGAATTGTATCATTTTTTTTTTAGTTCTAGAAAGTAATGCAATTGATATAACATTAATTTAAGGAGTATTGTCATTATATTAGCATGGCCCCACCATGAGTAGTGAATATCTCTTCAATTCTTTATTTCTGTAATTAGTGTTTTCTAGTTATATTTATCGAAATCATTCACATGTTTTAGTAAGTTACCTGCTAGATAGTTTATGCACTGTATAGTTATTACAAATGTAACATCCCTTATTTTCATTTCTTCCTGGTTTTTATTAGTACTGTATAGAAATACTGATGATTTTTTGTGATTATTTTTATCCTGTTATCTTACCAAAGCTATTAGTCTTCTCAATTAGTTTCTTCACTGATTCTCTAGAGTCTTCTAAGTACACTATCATGTGACCTACAAATTGGGATAATCTAGCCTCGGACACTTAATAGCTGTGTGATCCTGGGCGAGTCACTTGACCTCTGTTTGTTTCAGCCTCCTTAACTGTAAAATAATAGCATTTATCTTGCAGGGTTCTTATGAGGATCAAACAATATATTTGTAAAACACTTAGCACAGTGCCTGGCATATAGTAGGCACTTTATAAATGCTCATTCCCTTCCTTCGTTATGCCAATATTTACATTAATTTTGTTCAGTTGTTGTACTGCTATAATTAATGTTTTGAGAACTATGTCAAATAATAATGGAGCGAGGAGGTATCCTTGCTCTTCAATCCGTAAGCACTAAAGAAGTGGAGAACAAGTGCCAGGCACTAAGATAGGCACTGGGCATACAAAGCATTCTGTGCCCTCAAGGTCGTTTACATTCTATCAGAGGAAACAACATCTGTGTGTGTGTGTGTGTGTGTGTGTGTGTACATATATATATATATGTATGTATATATATATGTATATATATGTATATATATGTATATATATGTATATATATATGTGTGTGTGTGTGTGTGTGTGTGTGTGTGTGTGTGTGTGTATGTATATATCTGCATATGTATGCATATGCCCCAACCCCAGATAAAGATATAGATATTTGGGGTTGGAGCATTAGTGGCCGTAAAGGCCTCATGCTGGAGGTAGCGCTTGAGCTTTGAAAGAAGGTAGAGATTCTTCCATTCAATCAATAAGCTTTTCTTAAGTACTTACTATGTTTCAGGCACTATGTTATGCATTGGGAATTCAAAAACTAAAGCAAAATAGTTACAACCCTCAAGAAGCTTTCATTCAATCAGGGGAAGCAACATATATACACATGCATGTATATGTGTATATATCCAAAATAGCCCCAGATAGTTCTGAGATGAGGACATTAGCAGATTATAGGTAGAGATAAGAAATTAATGCATTACATTTGCCCTATTTGTACTGGAAAATTTCTAGTGTTTCCCCTTTACTAACAATACTAGCTCTTGCTTTTAATCATATGTATATATATATATATATATATATATATATATATATATATATATATATATATATATATATATATATATATATATATGGCAATTGGAGTTAAGTGACTTGCCCAGGGTCACACAGCTAATGTCAAGTGTTTGGTCTGAGGCTGGATTTGAACTCAGGGCCTCCTGACTTCAGGGCCTGTACTCTTATCTACTGCACCACCTAGCTACCCTTTAAATATATATTCTAAAAGAGCCTTCCTCGTCTTTGCTCTTTAGTGACTTATAACGTAAATGCGTGCTGTATTTGGCAAGGTTTTTCCTGCATCTATTAAAATAATCATATGGTCATCTTTGTTGTTTACATGAAAAATCCTGGTAATTTTTCCCCTAACGTTGAACTATCCCTGGCATGATTCCAACTTGGTCATGGTAAATTATTTTCTGGATAGATTATAATAGTCTCCATGTGAGAATTTTATTTGAAATTTTTACATCAATATTCATTAGTGAGTTTGGTGAATTATTCTTTCATCCTACTTTGTTTCTCTTTAGTTTAGGTATCAGGATCATATTAAGCTCAGAAAAAAAGGTTAGTAGAATGCCTTATATGACTTAAGAGTAATTTTTGTAGTAGAGTTATTAAATGGTATTTTAATGTCTGTTCGAATTCCTCAGGTCTTCTAATATCCCCACTCCTCATACTCATATACTTTGGTTTGCTCAATTTTTTTTCCGAGATTAGATTAAGATCTTTATTTTGTTTTGTTAGTTTGTTTATAAATGTCCTTCTAGTACTCAATATTTCCGGCATTCAGTTTTCATACTAGTAGTTTCTGATCATTCTTTTGACTTCCTCTCCATTGTGAATTTACCTTGTTCTTTTTAAAAATTTTGCTAATTTAGTTTTCTAATTTTTTTTCTTGATCAGATTAGTCAATGGCTTATCAATTTTGGTAGTCTTTTCAAACAAACAACAAGCATTTATTCAGCATTTACTATGTGCTAGGCACTATGCTAAGCATTAGGATACAAAGAAAAAGCAAAACTAGCCCTCACCTTCAAGGAGCAGTCTAATGGGTTAGACAACATCTATTAAACAGAAGATACCTACAGAGTAGAGAGGAGATAACCTTAGAAGGGAAGGCAGTAGCTACTAAAGGGACCAGGAACCTATAGAAAGTGGGATTTTGGCTGAGTTTTGAAGGAAGACAGGACAAAGGAGTTTAGAAAAATCAGAATATTAGGGGCAGCTAGATGGTGCAGTGGATAGAGCACTGGCCCTGAAGTCAGGAGGACCTGAGTTCAAATCCGACCTCAGACCAAACACTTCTTAACATTTACTAGCTGTGTGACCCTGGGTAAGTCACTTAACCCTAACTGCCTAAAAAAAAGAAAAAGAAAAAAAAGAAAAAAGAAAAAAAATCAGAGTATTACAAGCATAGGGGGACAGCCAGTACAAAGGCACAGGGAGCTGAAATGGAGTGTCTTGTGTTGGGAAATTCAAGTAGACCAATGTCAGAGGATTGTAAAGTGCCTGAAAGAGAATAAAGTGCAAAAAAAAAAAAAACAACTGGAAAAGTAGGAAGAGGCCAGCTTGTGAATAGCTTTAAACGTTTTTTATTTTTTTTTTAAAAAAAGGATTTTAGCGGCAGGTAGGTGGTGCAGTGTATAGAGCACCGGCCCTGAAGTGAGGAGCACCTGAGTTCAAATCTAGCCTCACACCAAACACTTGACACTTACTAGCTGTGTGACCCTGGGCAAGTCACTTAACCCCCAAAAAAATCAGTTTAAAAAGATGATTTTATAGTTGATCCTTGAGGTAATAAGAGAACCACGGGAGCTTACTGAGTAGTGGGGTGACATGATCAGATCTGTACTTTAAGATTGCTGTCAGCTAAGTGGGGGACAGATTGGAGTATGGAAAGACTTGAGTCAGGGAGATCTGAAAACTTTTGCAGAAGTTCAGACAAAAGATGATGAGAGCCTGTACCAGAGTGGTAGCAGTATTGGAGAAAAGATGTTTACAAAGTCCAATTCCATAACCCTTGGTAACAGATTGGACATGGGGTGGGGGGAGGTAAGAGAAAGCGAGTAGAGGATGATGCCTAAGTTGTGAGTCTGGGTTACCTGGAGGATGGTGATGTCCCTCCACAGTAACAGGGAAGTATGGAAAGGGGGGGGGGGAGATAATGAATTCCATTTTAGACATATTGAGTTTAAGATGTTTGATGGTCATCCAGTTTAAAATGTTTAAAAAGCAACTGGAGATGAGAGGTTAGGGCTGGATAAATAGATTTGAGAATCATCAGCATAGCGATGATAACTGAATGGCTCAGAACTAATGGGATCACCCGTTAGAGAAACGTACAGTGGCTCTCAAAATGTAGTCTGGGCTATCTGTGAGGGTTCCGCTAGGTCAAAACTATTTTCATAATAGTAAATATTAGTATTCCAAGATGGTTCCACATCTAATATGGAAACATCAATAAATATTTCCAAACAAACATACAAATAAAACTCTTTAGGAGGGTCCTCAATAATATTTACAAGTGTAATGAGGTCCTGAGACCAAAAAGTGCAAGAACCACTGGTGCAGAGGGAGAAGTGAGGAGGGGAAAGTTCCTGTGGGAGCCCACGCTAGCCGCTGCGCACTCGCAAAAGGCTCTCCATCACTTCCCTCACTTCCTTTGAGGGGAGTGGTGGATGCTGAAGCGGCAGCCTCGACACCCATTCCAGTAGGCCTCAAAGCCATTCTGGTGGGCCCTGCAGCGACACCCAATTTCGGTGCCCATCCTCCAGCAGCAGCCATACCTGTGGGCCCCCTGCCCAGCGACAGGCATTCCGGTGGTTCCCACAGCTACAGCCATTCGGTTTTTCTGGCAGAAGAGAGGTGGTTTGCGGCCCTCAACCCTTCAGCAACAGCCATTTTGATTGTACAGAGACAAAGGTCAGAGACAGTGGGGGTTTCTCCTCACAGTCACAGTACTTTCTGGGTGTTTTGGTGAGAGGAGGAGGGGAGCAATTGAGAAGGCAGCAGCCAAGCCTGATCCTGAGGTAGCCAGTGGCGGGAAAGCGCGGGCCTGTGCTACCATGAGCGAGAGAGGAGAGCGCAGAGCCAGTGGGCGGGAATCCCGCTCTGCCTCCAGAAGCGGAAGTGCGCAGAGCTCTGACAAATCTGCGGCTTCTAGCCATGCCGAGTCTCCTTTCAAGGAAAATTCGAGACATTCTGAAGCAAAGTCACGGTCCAGGTCCGGATTCAGATCCGAATCCAGATCCGAAATTAACTCTTCAAGTCATTACAGCACATCACTCTCCCGCTCCGGCTCGCGCACCGGCTCGCGCACCGGCTCGCGCACCGGCTCGCGCACCCGTTCCCGCACCCGTTCCCGCTCCCGCTCCCGCACCCGCTCCCGCTCCCGCACCCGCTCCCGCACCCGCTCCAGTGCTTGCCGACAGACCCAGAGCAGGTCTTACAGTCAAGATTGTCATGGTTATCGAAGATACTATAACTACAGTCGTTCTCCTCTGACTCCCTGCAGACACCCTATGGGGAGTCCCAACTCTTGTCTCGGTGTATTTGGTTTGAGCCTGTACACTACGGAAAGGGATCTAAAAGATGTATTCACCAAATATGGCCCAATTTCTGATATCTTCATTATTTATGATAAGCACACCAGGTGCTCCAGGGGGTTTGCTTTTGTGTATTTTGAAAATGTGAATGATGCCAGGGAAGCTAAACAGAATGCTGATGGGATGGAGCTTGATGGGCGAAAGATTAGAGTGGATTTTTCTGTAACAAGAAGACGCCCCAGTCCCACACCTAGAATCTACATGGGAAGACCTGCTTATATCAGAGGTGGTCGTGAATATGGTAACTGGGACTATTATGGTAGATCCAGTAGAGGAGGAGTTGGAGTAGCAGCAGCCAGAAGCAGAAGAGGATGGAGAGGTGGCCAAGATACGAATCAGATTTTCCAAAGGCAATTACCATCTCCATGTTACAGCCAAGGGAGATACCGTTTCCATTCCAGATCTCGACCCTATCGTCCTCATCACTTTTAAAGCCTGAAGGTGGAGAATTTGATGGAGAATTTCCAAAAGCTACCCTATAATTGTAATGTGGGTTTTGTTTCTTTCTTCTTATCTGCTCTTTCAAGAGTGAGCTATGCCTAGTGAGTGAAGACTACTTTTGCTCGAGTTGAAATGTTGTTTTCATTAGGGGCGGCTAGCTGGTGCAGTGGATAGAGCACCCGCCCTGAAGTCAGGAGGACCTGAGTTCAAACGTGGCCTCAGACTAAACACTTGACACTTACTAGCTGTGTGACCCTGGACAAGTCACTTAACCCCAATTGCCTCAAAAAAAAAACAAAAACAAAAAAAACCAAAATGTTGTTTTCATTCTTCATTTGTGTACTTTGGTGTTTTATTCAAAGTTAAATGTTTTCAGAAAAATGTGTTTAAAGACTAAATTTTGACTGCTTCAAAGTTTCTTCTGGATAAAAACTTCATTTAAAAAGTTTTCCTGCTGAATCCCCAGTAAAGTGAAAATTTTGTATTTATGTAAGATACCTAAAATGTGATAAACCAGCAATATATATTGTTTGCTTTCTGCTTTTGTCTTTACCACATCAATGCTTAGAAAAGTTGCATTTTTAAAAAAAAGGAAAAAAAAGGAAAGTTGAATTTATCTGGTTGTTAGTGGAAAATAAGTTAAATTTCCTTTTGTTCCTACCCTTTATAGAGTATTATATATACTTAATTATCTATAACTGAGTATTAAAATTATACTGTGTAACTCTGTATTACTGGTATTAGATCTAAAGGTATTTTTATGCAGCAGTTTTCTAATTGTTGTCTGAATACTGAGCTTGTCAAATCCTTAATATAATCTACAATAGCAAGTGGGAGGGGAGGAGTAGAGTTTTATAATGTATGCATAAAGATTTTGTTTTCTTACCACATGACTGATATACAAGTGGTGATATTGAGCTTTCACTTATCAGTGAATAACTATACAATCCACTGAAAATGTAATCTTAATTTTGCGGCCTTAGAATACAATTATAAAACTAGTCACTTCGTGGTAAAGGATTGGGGAGGGAGGCAAAGAATACTTCAAGTATGCTTTGAAGTGAACCAAAAATGTTGCCTGTTAATTTTTAAAAACTCTTTTAAGTCCTTTTGCTCATCAAAGGACTTTTTTTTCAACTTTTTTTTTGAAAACTGTTTAAATAAGCTGTTAAAATTTTAAAAAGAAAAAGGAAAAGAAAAAAGAAAGAAGAGGGCCTTGGGGGACATGGGACACCTGTTATGGGTGTGGCATGGATCCAGATCCAGCAAAAAGGACTTGAACTTTGGGTTTCTACCTCTTCTTAACTGTGTTCATTGATGGAGGTTGGGGAAAGGTTGGGAGGGTAGGGTGGAGAAAGGTACATAGCAGTTATCTGCTACAAAAATTATTTTAGCTCTTGAGCTCAGAGATGTTCCAAAATGGTACCTGATATAGTTGGGGGGGGGAAGTGTTACTGTTTTATAGATAGATATAGGTATTGTAGCAATTGTTCTCTAAATGTTTGATAGAATTTATTTGTAAATCCATCAGTCCAAAGGTGTTTTTTTATTGCTTGATTTTTCCCTCCCATCATTCCTTTAAGGACTCTGCTGTTTTGTTCATCTGAGTATCAATTTCCTTTGAATGATCAGTTTTGCATATTATTGTATATGGTAGCTTCTATTCTTTTGACTTCCTCTAAATGCAATGTAATACTAAAATATATATTATGGCCTTATGTTTTAAAATGCTTATTTTGGTTAACAAATGTCCCCATCGAATAACATACACATTCAATTGGGTATGGAAATCTGTCTTACCCTACAGGAAAATAGGGGGGAAAGTGGACAAGAGAGCAGGGGGATGATAGAGGGGGGGCAGATTGGGAAAGGGGTTAATCAGAAGTAAATACCTCTGAGGAGAGACAGGGTCAAAAGAAAGAACAGAATAAATGGGAGGGCAGGATAGGATTAAGGGAAATAGAGTTAGTTTTTCACAAAATGTCTACTATGGACGTGTTTTGCATAACTGCACATGTACAACCTATATTGAGTTGCTTGCCTTTTCAATGAGGGTGGGTGGGGAGGGAGGACTGGTTAATAAATATAGGAAATGGGGTACAGAAGTCTATCCTGCCCTACAGGAAAATAGAAGGGGAAGGGGATAAGAGAAGGGGAGAGAGATAGAAGAGAGGACAGAGTAGGGGAAGGGATATTCAGAATGCATGACATCTTGGGGTGGGGGGAGGGGGGAGATGGGGTGAAAATTTGAAACTCAAAAACTTGTGGAAGGGAATGTTGAAAACTAAAAATAAATAAATTTAAGGATGTAAAACAGGTGCATCAATTGTGCAGCTGTGTGGGGGAGCCAGATTCAAATGTAATTAGGAAATATTTCACAAAACCAATAAATATACAACATAGATAATGAAAAGAAAAAAAAAACAAATGTCCCCATCCAGAATTTGTGTGTTCCTTTTATTTTGTACATTGGACCAATGGCTGTGTTCCAGGTTATTCTGCATTTGAGGTCATTAATATGCATTACTGCAAGAGAGGGGACAACTTTTCAAAAATTCTGCTGAATCTAGCAACTTCCTTAAGGGTGTCAAATAATGGCTAAGCAACTGTATGTTGCTGTCATTGTCCAGTCAATTAAATGACAACAGAAATATGCCAAATGTGTCAATTATAGTGAATATTGGAAATAAATATTGGTTGTGTTCTAAGAAGATTTTGATGTTTTTATTTCATTCCATTCCATAAACTCTTTCACTCTGATTCCATTAAGTATTTTCAAAACAACAGCAGCCATTAAAACAAAAGATCCAGCAAAGGAGATTGAGGAGCCTTCAGACAGGTCAGAAGGAAGCCAAGAGAGTATCCAGAGAGGAAAGAAAACACAGGAAGAGGCACACAACAGGGGCAAGTGCTACAGAAAGGTCCAGAAAGAAGATTGAGAAATGAACATTAAATTTGACAATTAAGATATAATTGGTCACTTTGACCTTTGATAACTTTTGATGAGGTTGGAGCCAATTTGCAAAGGGTTTAGAAGAGAGTGATAGGAAAGGAAGTGGAGGTATCTAATATAGATAGCTTTTTTCTTTTTTCTTTTTCTTTCTTTTCCTTTCTTTTTTTTTTTTTTAGAGTGGGTCTTCCTATCTTTTCCAGGCTAGAAGTACAGGTGCTACTTACAGATCCAGTCCCACCACTGACTGGCTCAGAGGCTGTGACCTGCTGTATTTTTAACCCCAACACCTAGCATCTCACCTTATTGATGCAGGATTTATGCAGAAACCTGATTGGCTTCAGGTATACTGCAACTTAGAACTCCCAAACTAAAGTGATCTACCCACCTCAAACTCCCCTGTAAAGGGTTAGAGGCATATGTCACCACACCTAGATAGACAGTTGTCTTCAAAGAGAATAGCTGCAAAGGGGAGAAGAGCTATAGGACGAGGATAAGATCTAGTAGAGGTTTTTTAAGACAGGTAGATACAGGTATATTCACGTGAAACAGGGAAAGAACCAGTACATAGATTGAAGATTAGAAGGGGAGTCGTAGAGGGGCCAATCTACTGAAGAAGATGATGGGAGGGGTTGGAGAAAGGGTACATGTAGATGGTTGGCCTTGAGAGCAAAAAAGAGACTACAGTGAAGGAGGAGATAAGATAGTGGGGGATGATGTTAAAGGAATGTCAGATGAAAAGTGTGCTCTTCGCCTTTGGTGAATGATCTCAGTTTCTATAGTGAAGTATGGTATGAGTCAAGGTCCTCATCTGAGCAGGTGGACAAAAGGGGTGTACTTTAAGAGGCTTGGAGACAGAAGAAAAGATTTGAAACAGCAGTTGTGGTGAATGAGCTAAAGCATCAATTAGGGAGAAGGGGGATTGTTTTGCAATAATGAGAACCCAGGTCAGAGTATGTAACAGATGTGTGGTGGACCCAGTCAGCATGGTTTTGTTACTTCATCTCCATTTGGCAACATGTGAATGAGAATGAAAGAGGCAGATAGTGGGAATGATCCAAGGCTGGGATTTGGCAATAGGATGAAGAGGCAAGGGATTTAAGGTTAGGGGATAGTATAGAGTTGAATGAGTTCACCAAAAGGTCAAAGTTGGGAAGTGAGAAGAGTATAATCAGTGCAATGGTGATGGCCTGGGAAAGTAATAATAGCTAACATTTATACTGCACTTTAAGGTTTGTAAAGTGCTCTGCAAATATTATCTTATCTTATCCCCACAACAACCCTAGGAGTTAAGTGCTATTATTATCCCTATTTTATGGATGAGGAAACTGACACAGATTAAGTGACTCATAGCTAGTAAGCATCGGAGGCCGCATTTGAACTCAGGTCTTCCATGGTCCAAGTCCAGAGTTCTCTATCCACTGTGCTACCTAGCTGTCTGAAAGGCCAGAGGCATTGGAAGTCTTGGTGAAGATGAAGAACAGGGTTAAGAGGCATAAGACCTTTCCCCCCTTCCTCTACCCCTACATCCACTGTCAAAAAAAAAAATTCTTGTAACATATGTATAATCAAGCAAAACAAATTCCTGCATTGGCCGTGTCCAAAACATAAATGTCTCACTCCCTGAGTCCATCACCTCTCTGTCAGGAAGCAGGTAACATACTTCATCATAAGTCCCCTGCAATTGTTATGGGTCGTCACAATGATCAGAGTTTTTAATTTGTCCAGAATTGTTTGCATTTACAGCATTGTTGTTATATAAATTGCTTTCCTGCTCACTCCATTCTGAATCAGTTTGTACAAGTCTTCTCAGGTCTCACTAAAATCACCCCTTTCATATTTATATACCATCATTTGTTCAGCCATTCCCCAACTGATGAGCACTGCCTCAGTTTCCAGTTCTTTGCACCACAAAAAGAAGTACAGTGTTTGTGTACATGTGGACCTTTTCTGCCTTATTCCATCTCAAGGCCTAGCTGTGGTCAGCTGGGTCAAAAGGTACGTACAGTTCAGCGACTCTTAGGGCTTGGTTCCAGATTGCCTTCCAGAATAGTTGGGGGATTCATTGTTTAAAAAAAAAAAGCTCTTAGTTTTATAGTTTTTTTTATTTTCAAGTTTCTCTGTTTCTCTGATTTTTCAGACTGCTTCCCTTATACATGTCTTAGGGTTACTTATTTGCTTATTTTCTAGTCTTTCTAATTGCATGCTTAGTTCATTGGTC